CAGTGGTGGCTATCAGGAAGAGCCCAGAGGGAGCCAGATCTTGCCCATATTTCCTAGGGCTGGTTACAGCCCTGTGCTGGCCAGGCCTCCCCATAGCCAAGGCCCTAGTCAGGAGCTCAGGGCATCAGGCACTGGTACTGTGACCCTGTTGGACCCCAAAAGCAGGAAGCAGAGGGGACACAGCCCCTCAGAGCCCTGCAGCTGCCCCTCATTCCCCTCTCCCCACAGCTGGGCCTGCCACGCTCCAGCTCCGTGACCCTGGAGTGCACATCACCCCCGGACACCTTCCTGCAGACCATGATGGACTTCGAGGAGTTTGTGCCCCCCGTGCCGCCACCCCCCTACTACCCACCAGAGTATACCTGCAGCTCCGAGACGGATGCCCAGAGGTGCTGGGGGGGGACAGGGCCCAGCCAAGTATGGGGAAGCCAGGGGAGGGAGGACAAGGGGGAGCCGTGGAGCTGTGTGCGTGAGGTCTGTCCTCCTCTGTGGTTAACACAGCTTCTCCTGTCTTTTCCCACAGCATCACCTACAACGGCTCCATGGACAGCCCTGTGCCCCTCTACCCCACCGACTTCCCTCCGTCCTATGAGACTGTCATGGGGCTCCGGGGAGACAGTCAGGTAAGGGCATGGGCCTGGGCAGGCACATTCTGCACGGTGCTGGGCAGAGGGTCACGATGGCCCCAGGGAGTGTGGGGGCCGGGCCGGAGCATAGCTGGGGGCTCCCCGCAGCGTGTGCTGCCTCCCTTCTCACACAGCCCATGCCCAGGACTGGTGTCAGGCCGTGACCATCCATGTGCCCCTTAGGCCACGCTGTTCGACTCGCAGCTGACGGACACCTCGCATGTCTGCACCTGTGACCGCGTCCCCTCCATCGTGCTCAGTGGAGAAGGTAACAGCAGCCCTGGGCAGCATGGGAGAGGGGTAAGGGATAGGGCCCATGGCTGGGCTGCGGGGGTGGGGCTTGGTAGCAGCAGAGAGCGCAGCAGCGAAGTTCACACACTGCTGCTCTGTGGGTGTTGGGAGGGCAGATGGGGAGTTGGGGGGCAGTGTGGGAGGCACTGTGCCCACAAGCTGGGGGTGCAGTGCGCGGGGAGGGGTCACCATGCCTGCAGGCAGGGCCAGGATGGCAGCACATGGTAGGCAAAGGGGTGAGGCTGGGCCCTGCCCTGAGGGCCTTGTGCCTGCCCCCCCACCCCAACTCCAGGTGTGCGTGTTGCAGTATCCATGGACAGTGGGTCCCTGATTATGTCTGAGATCATGGACATCCCCGGTGACAGCAGCCCCTCGGAGGACTCGTGCCTGCTGGAGCTGCAGGGTTCGGTGCGCTCCATGGACTACGTGCTGTTCCGTTCCATCCAGCGCAGCCGTGCTGACTACTGCCTTAGCGTGGACTGCATGCAGTGCAGCCACCACCCTGGCAGCCCCACGCTGGGCCTGCAGGGCCCCTTCGAGGAGCCATCCCGGCCTCGCGTGCGCGGCGAGCGCTCCTACTCCTGCTCCACGCCCGACGCCGTGCTCGAGGGCCGCCTGGCCGGGGGCGCCGTGGCCCACAGCTGCAACCGGCTGGAGGGGCTGTCGCGCTGTGCAGGGCCCTGCTTCCCCGAGGTGCGGCTCAAGGGCAGGAGCGTGCCACCGGGGTGCCGGGACAGCAGGCGCCTGGCCCGGCAACGACGCAGCAGTGAGGCCTCCTGCCTGGCATCTCCAGCACAGGGCCTGGGCCAGCGTCCCCTTGTGCGGTCGCACAGTGACCCTGGCATCGTTGCTGCTGGCGACCCAGGTAGATGGGGATGAGGGGCATGGTCCATGTGTCTGTCTGCCAAGTCCGAGCTGCTCGTGCTCGGATGATGCGGCTGGATGCAGAGCGGGGGGGCGAGGTGGCCTGTTGAGGCCCTGCGTGTCAGTGTCCCTGTCGGAGCAGACTGGCTTGGGGATGGCACATCGGGGAGTGAACACTGATGCGCACGGGAGCAGGACGGACAGGCTGCGGTAGTCCTCATGCTCGTTCTCTCTGCTCCCAGGTGACTTCAGGGAACTGCTTTATACCAAAGCACTGGAGGACAACGTGTCCAACTCCTCTGCAGATACAGGTCAGGCAGCATCTGCGGTGCTGGAGATGCTCTGGGCCAGAGTCTGGGACTGGGCAGAGCATGAGCTATGAGTGATGCCTGTTTCAGTGGGAATGGGCTGATGGGAGCTGCGGCTGGATAGGGGTGTCATGTTGCCCCCCTACCCACTGGCACTCTGCCCCACTCCCAGGAGAGGCCCAGGGGCAGCAGTGGGGCACTGGGGCTGCTGGTTGCAGCATCTGGGCATGTGCCTGTCAGGTGCCCTGCGGCTGTGGTTCTCATGGGCTCCCCTCCCACCAGGGCTGTGCTCAGAAGCCTGTCTGCTCCGTGCCTCACGCTGGGACTCGCCCCCGCTCCTCCGGGCCAGCTCTGCTGGGAAGAACCGGCTGCCGGTGCCCAAGAAGGTGACGCAGAGGCTTTCGAAGGCAGGGACGCGCTCCCTGGGGGACCTGAAGGTTTGCCGCAGCACCCGTGGGCTGGTGGCCAGGTTCCTGCAGAGGTCCAAGCGCAACCTGGCACCAGGCATGGACGTGGCTGGACACAGCTCCCAGGGCCACAAGCAGGTGGGTGCGACCTCACAGAGCCACAGGCCCCTGCAGCCCAGAGGCCTGCACATGGGCAGGGAGCCAGGAAGTCCAGAACCCTTCATCATATAAGTATATATTCCGCCTATAAGTATATAAGGGGGGTGCATCAGGATCTGGGGTAACGCCTGTTCACCAGAGTACCCCAAGGGATGACAAGGTCCAACGGTCATAAACTCCTGCAAGACCCTTTTAGGCTGGATATGAGGAAAAACTTCTTTACTGTCTGAGCCCCCAAGGCCTGGAATACACTTCCTCCAGAGGTGGTGCAAACACCTACTCTGGACTCTTTTAAGAAATGTTTGGACACTTACCTTGCTGGGATCCTTTGACCCTAGCTGACTTCCTGCCCCTGGGGCAGGGGGCTGGACGTGATGATTTTCCAAGGTCCCTTCCAGCCCTAATGCCTATGAAATCACCCTGGCCCTGCTGCTGACTCACTGTGGAGCCTTCCGGGAGCCGCTGGGGCTTTCGTGCCTCAGTTTCCCCATCTGCAAAACATGAGTAATGATTCTCCCCAGAATCACCTGCTGTTGTGGTGCTTGCACAACCCAGGAAGCTCTGGGAAGCTGCAGGCCATGTTGGGTAACATGGTCCCATGGGAGCCCAGGAACACTATCTAATTGCAGCCTGCTAATGTATGCACCTCATCCCTGCCCCACCCAGGCCTTCCCGTAGTCGCACCAGTCACACCAGAGGCCTGCAGTCAGGGTCTGTCCTGTGGCAAAGCACCGTGACTGTGGCCTGGTGCCTGTCCTGACACTGGGGGGCCCTGCCTGGAGTGTCCCTTCTGGCTGCCTTATGCTGCTTTGCTGGACCCACAGGCTTGGGTTCCAGGACTCCAGGGCTCTGCCACAGAGCACAACCCGTTTTCCCAATGCTGCTCTGAGATCTGCTCTAGGGCTGCTGTAGGTCACGCCAGTTCCTGGCCCTCGGGGTCATTCCTGTCTCTGAGTCTGCCCTCGTCTGAGCCTGCACATGCAGGGCAGCCCAGGTCTTGTCGTGGGTGGGATGCGGATGCCTCTCCGTGTGTCACCTGCTAGCCCAGCCGCTTGGCCCCGGCCACTCCTGCTGCGTGGGAGGACTGCAGCCCCAGGAGCTGCTGCTGCTTGCCCTTTGCTCACTCTGCCCCATGAGCTGCCCCAGCTTGGGCAACCACTGGCCTCAAGCAGCAGATGCTGCTGCTACCACCTGAGCTGGCACAGAGCTGCTCTGGTCCCCACCTGCCCCTGCCCAGGGGCTGCTCTGCACCCATCCAGCCGCGCAGAACCCAGGCGAGGGCCGTTCCTGAGGGAAGGGCAGGGAGGGCACAGACAGGGAGGGGGTGCTGCCAGTGGGCTGGGTGGGGGTGCTTGCTCAGCTGCCCTCACTCACACAGGCCCCTGCTGCCCTTCTCGCCTGGCGCTGCAGGTTCCCCGGAGCCCATGGCCGGTAGCTGAGCACCAGCCTCTGGAAGGGATCCACCTGCAGAGCTGCGGGGACCTGAGCTCTACCTCCTCGCTGCGCCGCCTCCTGTCTGCCCGCCGGCTGGAGCGCAGCCGACCGCACAGCCTTAGCGGGGCCTACAAGGAGAGCATCCTCTGAGGGACCCAGTCCGAGCCCCCAGGCTGGCCAGGAGGCTCCATCAGCAGCTGGATCTCTGCCTGGGCAATTCAGCGCCTGGACTGGCCTTTCCTGGGGCACTGGCACCAGGCCTGGGGACAGGGCTGGCTCCTCCCCGGCACATGCCCACCCCCACTGGGTAGCAGTGGAAGGGGACAGGCACACCTCCAAGGCCAGGGCTCCTGGTTCCTCGTGCCTGGCTGTTTACCTCCAGGGCCCAAGACGGCAACTCCCTGCAAGGGTAGCGGACGGGGAGAGGTGCTGCACCCTCTTGCTGGGCACGCGTGGCTCCCAGGGGCCGTGGTCGGAGCAGCCGTGTACCCATGAGGGCTGCTGTGTTTCGCGAGTACCCGTGTGCAGGGGCTGAGCTGGGTGCCCCCTGCACCATGGGCTCTGCTGGCCCAGATCTGATGTGGTCCTAGGTGCGATCGCATGTGCACGCTGCACTGGGGCCTCGCAGCAGTTCACCCAGTGCCCGAGCGGGGTCGCATCCCTGCCCAGCCCCTGCTCTGCTCCTGTGCTATGCAACCCCCACCACAGAGCAGGCGGCCCAGGACCCTGCCCCTGGAGTTCGCCTCTCCCTATTGCTGCTCGGGCCTAGCCTGCAGCTCCGGGCCGGGAGGAGGGTGGTGCCCGGCCGCAGCCCCGCAGGGCCGGGGCTCTGGGGAGCACGGCCAGCTCCCTGCCGGCACCGCAGGGCCGGGCCCGCTCCTGTGCACAGACCCGAGCCCCGGGCCCCGGGCCCCCTCCTCCTCGTGCGCCGGCAGCTTTTCTACCTCCCCCGCCCCAGCGATGCCTTTGCTCTGCATGCCCCGTGCGCTCTCCCTGCCTCGGCGGGCGGGTGCACTTTTTTACTGGGGGAGCATGCGGGGGCCTCTCGGAGCTGCACTGACGCCTGCGGGAAACCAAATAAAGTTGTAGCCAGACCGAGCGGCTGTGCTGGTGTCGTGCTGTCCTGGCCCTGGCCGGGCCGCTCTGGTCCCCGGGGCCGGGGCCGGGGCCGGGGGGGGCGG